GCTGGGAGAATGCAGGTTAGGACTTACAAGAGCAAGGAAAGCTAAAACAGGAGTGCAATTTAAAGCCACTTCCCTCATGAGTCAGATAGACCTGCACATGAAAAATGTAGCCCTTGCTGGAAAATTGTTGAGTTGTTATTTCCTGGGTTGAGCCTGGACCTTCGCCACACTGTTACATGATAGTGCTAATTTATGTTACCTACATCCAGCATGATTTATGGCTTAGTCCTTCAGCAGGGTCCTTGTATACCAAATTTCTTAGTACCTAGCACCTAAATATCCAATAAAAAATCTCTAGGTGGGCCCATCGCGGTGGCACAAGTGGTTAAAGGTCCTCGCCTTGCATGCCCGGGATCCCATATGGGCGCCGGTTCTAATCCCACCAGCCCCGCTTCCCTTCCAGCTCCCTGCCTGTGGCCCGGGAAAGCAGTCGAGGACGGCCCAAAGCTTTGGGAACCTGCACCCGCGTGGGAGACCCGGAAGAGGCTCCTGGCTTCGGACCGGCATAGCATTGGCTGTTGCGCTCACTTGGGGAGTGAATCATCGGACGGAAGCTCTTCCTCTCTGTCTCTCCTCTCTGTATATCCGCCTTTCCAATAAAAATAATAATAATAATAATAATAAAATCTCTAGGTAGGAGCAGAAATTAAGCTGGTATTTTTGGCACAGCAATTAAACTGCCCCTTAAAACACCCATCCCATAGTCAAGTGCCTGTCGGAATCCCAGTATTTTGCTCAAGGATCAGCTCCTACTAACAGGTACCCCGGGAGACAAGAAATGATGGTCCAAGGACTTGGAAGGAGTTCCAGGCTCCTGGCCTCAGCCTGGCCCAGACCTGAATGTCGCAGGCATTTGGGCAGTGAATCAGCACACAATCTCTTGCCACCTGCCCCTCTCTTTGCCCTTCAAATACGCAAGTCTTTAAAAACCTAGAAATCGGAGGAAAAATAAAAAGGAAAAAAGTCTATAGACTTGACACTTCTCATGATTTTCTCCATTTTCTAACAGTCACAAGACACTGTTAATATATAGTGAAAGCCGCAACACGGTGGAGGAATCCACCATGGGGAGAGGGTTATGGGAGGGGTGGTGGGAATCCCAGAACCTATAAAACTGTGTCACATAATAAAAAATATACATATATTGAAAGCTTTTCAGAAGAAAAACACAGGCCAGCATTGTGCCACAGCCGGTTAAGCTTCTTCCTGCAACTCTTGTATCAACATGAGCACAAGCCAGACTGCAACTCCACTTCTGATCCAGCCTCATGCTGACGCACCCCGGGGAGCAGCAGCAGAATTCGCAGTACTTGGGCCAGTACTTGGGCCGCTGCCACTCTTGCAGGAGACTTGGATACAGTTCTAGGCTCCTGGCTTTGACAGGACCCATCCCTGCAGTTCAGCCACTTGGAAAGTGATTCGGACGATTCAAGATCTCTTTCTGTTGCTCCAACTCCTGCCATTCAAATAATTGTTTAAAAATAAATACTACATTAAATGAACACAAACTATGAAACTACTGTGAGAAAATACACATTAGAAAAAAGGAAACAGTTGCTCTTTCCTCAACTCTTTCACACCGGTCGGTCCCCCAGAATAAACTCCCCTAACAAGACGAAGTCCAGCTCTCTAAGCAAACAGCTTTGACATCTAAAGGTCATCAGCACAACAGTATATTTTATAACACCGGCAAAGTATTGCTGTATTATACTAAATATTATAAATTTTGTCAAACACTAAATCTTTAAAGACTGTTTTCCTAATCCTTTTCCAGTTTCTAAGCCACATTACCTGAGAAATATCATTCAACTACCAAGTCAAGACTAAATCTAAGTTTGTAAAATCAAATGGAAAACAGTATTTATAAACAGAGAACAATATGAGCGCCATCCATTTGCTAGCTTTGTTCTTCCAATATTTAGGAGTCAAACCAAAATATTTGAATAGAAAAGCAATATCTGCTCTAACCAACCCTCCTTGCCAGCCTTGTTCTAATGTGTAGATATCCACATAACAGACATGTTAAAACTTTTTTATTTTCATTGGCAAGACAGTTTGTTTCAATTGGAAAGTCTGATATGTAGAGAGGAGAGACAGAGAGTAAGATTTTCCACCCAATGATTTACTCCCCAAAAAGCTGCAAAGACTGGAGCTGCACCAACTGGAAGGCAGGAGCCCAGAGCCTTCTCCAGGTCTCCCTCGTGGGTGCCGGGTTCTAAGGCTTTCGGTCATCGTCTCCTACTTTCCCAGGCCACAAGCAGGGAGCTAAATGAGAAGTAGGACCATCAGGATTAAAACTGGCACCCATATGGGATCCCAGCATGCACAAGGCGAGGACTTTAGTCACTAGGCCACCACGCCGGGCCAAGCAAGAGAGTTTTTACCGAGAGAAAGAGAGATGGAGAAAAAAGATCTTCCATCCACTGGTTCACTCCCCACATGGCCACAACAACCTAGATTGAGCCAATCCAAAGCCAGAAGCCTTCTCCGGGTCTCCCACACGGGTGCAGGGTCCCAAGGCTTTGGGCTATCCTCAACTGCTTTCCCAGGCCACAAGCAGGCAGCTGGATGGGAAGTGGAGCAGTTGGGACACAAACCAGCACCCACTTACGATGCCAGTGCTTGCAGGTATTAGCCATTTAGCCATCATACTGCTCCAGACTTACTCATTTTCAAATCATTCATTCAATAACTAATTTTGGAATAGTATTAATGGTCAAGCACTCTTCTAGGACAGGACACGGCAATAATTAAACACCTATTTGTCACTCTCCTGAGAACTAGGATATACAAGTCTGTTCTCCAGCATACACAGGACTGCTCCTTAGCACAGTCAACAAGAAACAAGCAAAACACACTGGTAATGCCAGATCTCTCTTCTGAACCCCTTCCCAAACAGTCCAGTTTAGTTTTAGAATGATATGGGATCACACCAACCCTGATTCCATATACAGAACTGTCAAACGAGGCTATACTCTTATGTCATTAAATGAAGGATTCTTAGTTGCTATGATTCCCACACTGATGATCATCATGACTCTGAGGTAAGCATATCATCCTTACCAACTAACAACATTGCACCCCTTACTGAGATTCACTGCACAGAGTCTGAAATCTGAGGACAGTGATCTGGGACAACCACTTAGAGGCAGTGGCTCTCAAAGCTGACTGCACTTTAGAAATTACTAGAAAACTTTCAAAAACCGCACTGCTTAAGTTGTATTTCAGTAGGTAGCCAAGTCTGGAGAGCCACTAAGGCAGAAGACTTTAGGGAAAGCATAGTACTTTTTCAACTAGCATAGTTTGGAGATGTATTCACATTTTCTTCCAACATGAGCAATAAGCCTCACTAACAATTATTGTAGATGCCAATTCTACAGTAAGAGTCTAAGGTGAAGGGTTTCTGAGCTGCCTGACAAACTTAGGGAAAAAGGCATAACCCTGAACTAAAGAGAGATCATTAACTCAAACTGAATGCCAAGAAATAAATGAATAAAGTTTAAAAATCGTGTCCCAAAATCTATCAGAAATTGATGACATGTTAAAAACCAAGATCCCACTCCTAAATACCTGAAAGAGACGAAGGGAAAATAACAACCCTCAGACTGGCTTGTGAAGGGTTTTGTTTGTTTAATACATCTGAAAAGAATGCATATACAAAGAATTGAGACATGAGAAAGCATTGGTTCAACACTAATGAATCTATAAGAATTAGGATTTGGGAAAGGTGATAAAGATTATCTAAACATTTTTAAAAATTCGAGACTGCAACCGAAATTAGCTGATAAAACCCCTATTAACACTTAGGAAGTCTTCTTAAGACTCTTTCCATGATTTTTATTAAACTAGAGAGCCTCAAGTGGCTTCTCTATCATTTCTCTTACACAAAACAAAAATAAGGGGATTCTCCTGACTGGTCCCCTTGTTGTTAAGTGTCTCCCCACCAAGTCCCATTCTCAGCTTCTTAATGAAGCAGGCCTGCACCCTCTTAACCTGAAAGAGGATGTGTATCAGTCCCCAGGGATCTGTCTGCTAGCACCACCCCTCATGTTTCCTCTACATACCAGGTCTTCCACTGGGTTCTAGGAACACCATAACACACTATGAGTTGAAAATCAATGCTAAGCATGTAAGACAATGACTGACAGGGAAAGAATATTTTAATTATGAACTCAATCCATTTGGTATATTTCAAAAGGTGCAATACTTTTCTTATCAGTGAAAGAAGTTAGAAATTAACTTTCAAAAAAAAAAAATCAGCAAATGGCAAACAAACTTCCTTGAAAGTCACAGTCACATACATAGTGCATCCTAGAACAGAGGAGGGGCAAGGCAGGTTCCAGCCACTTTCATCAAATACTGGTTCTACTCAAGGGTGGAGAGAAAAGGCAACTTTCAAAAAGGAGTATGTTATTAATGAGGCATTTACTGACTCCTTCCTAAGAGCACCGGGTGGGGACGTGTCTTCTACACTAGGTCTAGGAAGTGGAATGTGGAATCAATCCATCCTCCTCCCTTAAGGGCTGTCCTCTGGTTAATGAATTTAAAAAACAAGACTAAAAAACCCCACACACACTCTGCCCCCTCAAAAAAAAAAAAAAAAAAAAAAAACCTAAACAAAAACACTAGATGTCCCAGATTACGCTCCAGAGAGGAACTAGGGAGCAGCTCTAACAATTCAAGTTAGTCTGTTACAGAGTCATCACAAAGCATGCCTTGCTTTAAAAATAACAACAAAAAACACCTGGTTTTTGAAGAACAAAACATAAACTAGTATACTGATCACTTTCCTGACAATACACAATTACTCAAAATTAACTAGTACTGGAGGAGAAAGGGGGACCATACCTATAGACCTTGTCTCACACAAGTGCATGTGGGTAGGTGCAGGGCATTTGTCATTATTGCAAAAACGAATTTTAATTTTTAATCTTTAGTTTGATTTAAACATTGCTTTTAGTGCGACGCCGACCCCAGCTTGCAGAAAGGGCTCTGGAGAGTGTTCATAGCAGCACACACCTGCGGCTCTTCTTCGGTTCTGGAGGCTCCAGGGCAGCCAATATTGCTTCATCAAATACATTCTTTAGGCCTTTCTGAAAAGGGGTAGAAAGAGAAAATGGGCAGTCTGATTTTCAGTAAGATAAAGCTGGAGCTCAAACCTGAAACATTCAAATCCCCAGGAGTTGGCAAAAACAGAAAACATTAAAAACTCTGAACTTCCACCACCTCACTTCACCAAGTGCTGTCCAGGCAGTGCACTGACTCAGGAGCAGGGATTCATCAGACTGGGCCTCTGAGAAAGCTTTTTTGCAGAACATTGTATGTCAGAAGAAGCAAACAAGCATTAAGAGTCACTTGCTCATTAAACATGAGTTTTGCAATGGGCTGGTGAAACATTTTACTTAACAAGGAAAGCAGCTCCGCATTCAAATGAAACAGCTGGATATGCAACAGGACAGGGCAGCGACACCCTTATCATATGGAAGGCGCAGGCAAAGAGAGCACGCAATTATGGTAGCTGCAGATATTCCTTTTAAACCCCTTTCATCCCACCGGTCAGAGTCAAGGAGACTCAAGGAAGAAAGAATAGGGAGCAGACACACATATCAAATCAAAGCCAGTCAGTAACACAGCAATAAAGTTTCATCAGGCATTTATACAAACAATTGTATTTTTTTTTTTAATTTCAAAATTTGAAGTTAACCACAATTGTATGTTCCCCTCACAACAATAAAATCAGAGGCAGGAAAATATAAAGATGGCAGCTTTACATTTCAACATTAACAAATTTTAACTGTTAAAATGGATGCTATTTTTCAAAGATAATGTAACAAATGAATAAAGCAATAGCAGATACATCAATATCCTCCCCACCCCAGGCTGACAAATACTCCACCACAGCACAGACAGCCAAAGCAACGGGAACACAAAGTTTCACTGCACAAAAAAACAACAACAACAAAAAGCCAGGAATGAATCCTCCCTTCCCCAGTACACTCTACTAGCAGGTCACCCTTTTTCATTACGTTTGTCATGCAATTACATTTAACAATTGATCATAAGAGTAAAATGATGTTGTAATACTTTCTTTATCTAGAACTAAGATCTGGAAGTGTCAAAATTCTTATTTTCTCCAAGAGAACATTCTTAATGCCAGACCAAGTTCCCTTTTGCAACAGTAATCCAAACCAAAAGCTCTGAGCATCAGGCAACTCAAGCAGCAGAAAGTTAAACATAAGTTGAACTTGACTACTGATCACAAAAATATTCCGTAAGATACTGCATTCTTGATCAAAAACTAATACAGAGATTGATTGCTACAAGGTGGTGAGTAAAAAGACGCAGAGGCTTTCAAACAGGATGGTTTTATTCCTTTGTTTTTAAACGATCTTTCTACAATAGTGGGACAGAAAGCAGCAGCAAAGAGGGGAAGGAGAAAACAGTTTAGAATATACAGCACTTCCTTTTGGGTTGAGTTTCCGGAGGCTCGAGGGCAGCTAGGATAGCCTCATCAAACACATTCTTCAGACCTCTCTACAAGACAGAGGGGAAGAGAGAGAATAGCAGCCAGGTTAGAGGATTAGAAAGACTAGCAGATACAATAGCAGTCTGGATTAAATGAGCTGAATTCTCAAAAGCAATGAGCATTAAGAACAATAAAGGCCAGATTTCTGGATCTGAAACCCACTGTTGGGCAAGAAGATAATGCAAAAGAAACACCACCTCAGAAAAGGTTAGCCAAGCAGAAGGCAATTTTTATAGAAATGGCAATATTTTGACTGCTAAAATCATTGCACACTGGAATAGTAAACATTTTAAGAAAAAGCCAGGATAGCAAAAGCAGATACATAAGCACAAAAATGGGTATCCTGGCTAATTACATCTTGTGGATTCTCCCAGTATTCTACTTTTAATAATAGCATGTATTCTTTGGAAACAAATAGCTTTACATTTCAGGCTTATGTGAATTCAGCCCCTGAATAACTGAAGGACAGCAAAAGCAGACTAACAGGCATGCTACATGTTTCTAGGTTCAATGACATATTTGGAAGGGATTAGTCAGGATTTTGAAATAAATTGGTTTCTCAGAACAAAACAGTTTAGACATTTAGAAAGGGTGTTAACTGAGCAACAGTCCCAACTGGGAGGAGTTTAAAGAACAGACTCTAGAAACAGCACATGCTTCAGTTATTCAGAAATGTTACTATACAGGTAACCACCACCCAAGCCGTAAGAAAACCAAGAATGGGCTCCTAGAATGAGTTTTAGCAAGCAGTCCAATGCTTTAGGAGGTCTGCACGGCTATCACAGCATAAAGCATGGAGTGAAAACAAAGACTATTCTCAGATTTACAAGGATTAGGATGCAGAAATGCACTTACACCTCAGCCAGAAACTCCGTGACAGTGTGAACCAGCAGTGGTGGTACCGTGAGCTCAGGTCTATATACTCACCTAAACTCACCTAAATAGCTAAAGCCAAAGGTTTACTACTCGAAGCCATTTCGCACATTCTTTATGTAATGGTTGATCCCAGGTTAAAAAAAAAAAAAATGCCCCCAAAATCCCAGAACACACAATGTTAAGTGGCAATCCCAGCCTTTCCTAGGTGTTCCCATCCTCACCCTATTCCCAACCTTGGCACTGGAGGACCAGTACCCACACAATAGCAATCAACACTTAAAAGGAAGCTAAAGAAGTTCAAATATTTTTGTCTTTCTACATCATGCACAGAGTTGAAATGCCATAAAATCTTAGTTTCTTTCCAAATATTTCTATACATCTAGAAATAAACTTGACAATCAAATATAAAAGGAAGGAGTGAAATATATACTTTCTAATGTAGGAAGACCATTAGAAACTGGGGTATACTCCTTAATAAGAAAATCTTTCCTTTTTAATTGTGAACAAAAATCAACAAATACTCTATGTAACAAATCTCGTCTTTGCTTTACCTTTTACATAAACATTTTTAGAAGCTCCAACAAATAAAATCCAAACTCCCAAACACAACCAGACCCCATTTTCTGTCCACTCCTCTTCTGACCTCTTCAAACTTCAAAATCCAGGAAGAAAAACTATACCTGTTTAAATAAGACCTTCCTATTTCCTGCCAAATGATTCACTAAAGAAACCTGATCATACTATAGACCCCTTCAACGAAGCACACAACACCAAAGCAAGCCTCACTAGTGCCTCAAAATCAGGTCCCTGGGGCTTCCTAGTTCGCATTTCACCAAAGGCAACTGTATCCGGGGCAGGGCAGGGCAGCTCTGCAAACAGAACTAGCATCTAACCAAACACCCTGTTCGCCCCAATCCCCAACACACAAATATACAAAGACACAGTCTTCTAGGGATGGACTATCACAACATACAGAAGCACCAGTAAGTTATTAAATATCAATCAGTATGAGAACATGTAAAATTTTTCTAAAATTTTAAATAAACACTTTTACAATGACATTAAAATATCCAGAAAAACTGGGTTGGTGGGTTAGGGGAGGAAGCTTAGTGATTAAGGCACAACTCTGGACAGCTGTGTGCATACACGTGTCTGGGCCCAAATCCAATTCCAGCTTCCTGCTAATGCACACTCTAAGGCAATAGGTGATAACTGAGTCTCTGCCATTCACAAGAGAAGACCTGGATTCAGGTCCTGGCTGCAGCATGACCCAGTACCAGCTGTTACGCGCACTTGAGAAGTACTTCACAAAAATTAAAAGTTAGGTTTAATAATGGATTTAAATTATGTGGTATCAGGCTTTGAAATTATCCTGTAGTCCAACAAAGTATCAAAGTTCTATCTTTACAGGTGGTAGTCTGGAACAAGGAGTACCTGAGGGCCCAGCACGGTGGCTCAACAGGCTCATCTTTCACCTGCATCCTTTATGGATACTGATTCACACTCCAGCTGTTCTACTTCCCATCCAACTGTCTGCTTACGGTCTGGGAAAGCAGAGGAGGATGGCTTAAGTCCATGGGACGCTTCACTCAAGATAAGCTCCTGATTCCTAGCTTTCGATTGGCTCAAGCTCGGCCATTGTGGCCATTTGGGGAGTGAACCAATAGATACAAGATTTTTTTCTGTCTCTTCTTCTCTCTGTAAATATGCTTTTCAAACAAACAAACAAACAAAACAAAAACAACACCTGAGTTGCCTGTATTCCACATTACAGTGCCCGATTCAACTCCCAGTTGCATTTCTGATCCAACTTGCTATCATGCAGACCTTGGGCATGCAGCAGGTGACGGCTAAAGTACTTTGTCCCTGCCACACATGAGACCTACACTGAGTTCCCAGCTTCTAGGTTCAGCCTGGCTGAACTCCAGCTATGTAAGCATTTGGGGAAGCAAACAGCAGATAGAAGGTCTCTGCCTTTCAAATTTAAAAAAAAAAATTCTAAAAATGTCTTAAAGTTTTATCTTCAAATATCCAACCAAATGTTAAATCGGGGATTACTGAGTAACTCACCAGGCCATACAGAATAAATGTAATATTTAATTATACATGCTACTTATTTCAGCATACATATAATAAAGAACAATGTTTGAAAGACAGTAAAAATGAAGTTACTTTAAAAAGATCAACAAATGAACTTAATATACTTATTAAAAAAATCTCTCCTCCTTTTGCCCTGCCCAATTTTAATCAGGCATGCCTGCTTATTATTCAAACTTCAAAGCACCAGTACTGGTGCAGAGTACGTAACCTATGCTCAATTCTTCCACTAATTCTTTACTTTGTCCCACAACTCTACTCAAAGGAGGTAATCAGCAATACCATGAAAAAGGAGCAGTCAGCGTAATTCTCACCTTAAACAGCACTGCTCCCTACCCTTAGAATCTGAATTTCCTATCAACTAGATCATTCAAAACGGACACAAGGAAACAAAGGTCCACGTGAGGGAGCAATGCAGGAATAGACATTACATAGAGCACACCTAAGGAATATGAGAGAAATAACCAAGGCAGTCTACTCTGACATTGACTATGACTGTCAGTAAGGTTGTCCTGATTAAATTATCCCAGAAGCACTGTAGCGTCCACTGTTGGACTGCACAGAAACAATCAGGTACACAGAGATAAAAGGTCTGGGGGTGAGGCAGAGGCAGTCTCATGCCCATTCTCTCCTTAGTGTGTGCTTATCTGAACTTCTCTTTCAGGTCTCTGCCTTGCTTTTAACACAACCCTGACCACTACAAATCATTCAGTTCAATAGGGGAAGATATCACTAAGAGCTGTATAAGACTCCTAACGTTCTCCATAAATAAAGAGAGTTAAAGAATATACAGCAGGACGATGGTCACATTCTTCCTAGGTCATTTTGGGCATTGCTGACCACACTGGAAATAACTCATTAGAAATAAGTCCTGTATCTTAATACTCTAAAAAAAAAATACTCAACCATAAATAACCATGGGGTTTCCCACAGTTCTTACCTGTGTGAGCGCAGAACACTCCACATACTTGACAGCTTTCAGATCACGGGCCAGCTTTTCAGCAGTCTCTGGAGTGATAGGCTTCTGTTTGTTCTTGGCAAGTTTCTCGATGGTAGAGGGGTCATCTCTGAGATCAATTTGGGTCCCGACAAGCAAGAAAGGAGTCTTTGGACAATGGTGAGTTATCTCAGGAACCCACTAAAGAAAATGCATGTTAAAAAATACACCTTCATTAATCCACAAATCTAAAGCTATTGCTAACAAGTCAATAGAAATTCTGTGACAGCCTTTCTCAGCTAAGAGATTATCTGATCAACTTACCTTTTCTTTCACATTTTCAAATGAGGATGGAGAAACCACTGAAAAACAGACTAAAAATACATCTGTTTGTGGATAACTCAGTGGCCGTAATCTATCATAATCCTCTTGCCCTATAAAAAAGAAGTTGAAGAAGTCAGTAACTGCCTCTTGTTGCCCTCACAGTGTTAAAGTCACAAAGCCAAACAATCATTAGTTAATTGTTCAGGTATGCAACTTAACCACACTGATCATTAGCCTGAAAACAACTTACAAATAAAACATGTCTGTATAACATAGTATTTGGGAAACATCCTCAATTCAGTAATTCTTCTTTAATGTCAATAATTGATAGCAAAAATCAATCTGCTAGTCTATTATGTGCTTTTATTACCAGTGGCCTAACATCCAGTAGTGTCCTGACAATCATTCACAACAATACCCTGCTAAAAAAAAGTTAAAATTCAATTCCAGTCTGATCTGGTTAAGAAACAGAGAATCCATTGACAGGGAAATCTGCTATCAAAAGTAACTATACATTCTGACCACCAAAACAGGGTACATGTTTAGGTAATGTGATGTGTACATTCAAGATGAATATCTGATACAGATACAACCAAGTAGAAAAAAAAACCTGTCTAAGAACCAATTTTATACTAAAAAAACAAAAACAAAAACAAAACAAAAACATATACTTAGGAATTAACCAAAGAGATGAAAAACATCCTACAGATTCAATGCAATCCCTACGAAAGCCCTATTTTTTAATGTTTTGTTTTGTTTCTTGCAGACACCAAAGCATTTATCTTAAAATTCACATGGAATCTCTAGAGATCCCAAGCAGTCAAAACAATCTGTTTTTTTGTTTTGTTCGTTTTTTTAAAGGTTTACACAGGGCAGGTCTCGTGGTGTAGTTCATAAAGCTGCCACCTCCAATGCCGGCAACCCTGAATGGATGCTGGTTCACATCCAAGCCACCCTACCTCAGATGGAGCACCCTACTAACACACCTGGGAAGGTGACAGAAAATGACCCAAGTCCTTGCATCCTTGCACCCACATGGGAAATCCAAATGAAACTCCTAGCTACTACCTTCAGTCTGGCCCAGCTCTGGCCATTGAGGCAACTTGGGGAGTGAACGGGTGGAGAGAAGATCTAGCTTTTTTATTGCAGTTTTTTTTTAAGATTTACTTATCTTTATTTGAAAGTCAGATTTGCATAGAGAAGGAGAGACAGTGACAGAGATCTTCCATCCATTGGTTCTCTCTGCAAACAGATACAATGACCAGAGCTGAGCTGATCCTAAGCTAGAAGCATCTCTTCAGTCTTCCACGTGGCTTCAGGAGCCTAACCATTTGGGTATCCTCCTCTGCTTTCCCATCCAGGAGATAATCAGGCAGTTGGATGGGAAATGGAGCGGTCAGCACATGAATCAGTGCCCATGAGGAATACTATGCAGTTAGAGAATTAACCTGAAATGCTGGCCCCTGTCATTGTCTTTCAAATAAATAAAATAAATCATAAAAGATTTATGGGACCTTGCACGGTGACCAGTGATTAAATCCTCACCTTGCATGGACTAGGATCTCATATAGGTACCAATCTGCACCCTGGCTGCTCCACTCCCCACCCAGCTCCTTCTTTGTGGCCTGGAAAAAACAGTGGAGGATGGCACAAAGCCATGGGATCCTGCACCCGCATGGCAGATGTGGAAGAAGCTCCTCACTTTGCACTGGTTCAGTTCTAGCCATCTGTGCCCACTTGTGGAGTGAACCAACAGACTAAAGGCCTTTCTCTTCTTGTCTCTGTAAATCTGCCTTTCCAAAAAATAAATCTTAAAAAAAGTTTATCTGAAAAACAAAGTGAGTGGTAGACAGAGAGATCTTCTGATCCACTGGTTCATTCCACAGATGCACACAGCAGGTAGGCCTAGGCCAGGCTAAGTTCAGCAACTCCACCAGGGTCGCCTATGTGGCTGACAGGAACTCAAGCACCTGGGCCATCATCTGCTGCATTCCAGGTGCATTAGCAGGGAGATGGACTGCAAATGCAACAGCCAAGCTTCAAGCCAGCATTTAGACAGAATGCAGACATCATAACACCTGCCCAGTCAAAACAAATTTGAAAAACAAAACAAAAAAACCCAGGACTCCTACTTCATGATTTCAATGATTTCACGATTTGACCCACAGCAGTCAAAACTGTGGTACTGGCACAAGGCAGACATACAAGCATATAAACTTCCAAAAGTCTGTGAGTAAAACAGAATTAAAAGTTTATTTTAACACAAAAAAAAATTAAATTTACATACTTCTTCATAACATATTTTCTGTAAGATGCTTGAAGTTCATGAAACTTCTTGGGCTGGATGGTCCAAAAGACCACAGAAATAGAGAATTCAGAAACAAACCCTCAATATATCACCAGACTGGGCCTGGCAAGATAGCCTAATGCGTGAGTTCTCGCTCTGCAAGCACCAGCATTCTATATGGACACCAGTTAGTGTCCCGGCTGCTCCACTTCCCATCCAGCTCCCTGCTTGTGGCCTGGGAAAGCAACCAAGGATGGCCCAAAGCCTTGGGACCCTGCACCTGCGTGGGAGACGTGGAAGGAGCTCCTGGCTCCTGGCTTCATATCAGCTTACCTCTGGCCAGTACAGTCACTTGGGGAGTAAATCAGCAGATGGAAGATCTTTCTCTGTCTCTCCTTCACTGTGTAAATCTGCATTACAATAATGCTTAATAAAAAGCTCTCCGAAAAATATAGGGGAAAATATAGGGCAAAACTTCACATCACTGAACTCAACAGTGATCTGTTTTCGGCACTAGACCAAAGCAAAGGCAGCCAAGCAAACAACAAACAGCTTGAACATCACAAAATTAGCACGTGCATGCATCAAGTGGATCAACAGTTAACAAGGTAGTGTGATCTGCCTATCAAATATCCAATCTGATCTACAGAGAACTCTTACAACTTAACCAAGCAGTAAGCAATGTAGCCCAGCAAGTTGTCTTTAAATAAAAGAACTGTAAAGGAACAACAAAAACAAAATCCAATTTGAAAATGAGTAAAGGACCTATTGTTTCTCCAAAGCTGATACATATTTTCATTTTTAGGTTTTTCTTTTTTGTTTCAGTTAACATATAAACAATGTGACAATATTCACCATCACTAATCAGTAGCAAACTACAAGTCAAAGTTCCCCTGAGATCTCATCTTACACTTGTCAAATGCCTACACTCACAGGACAGAAGACAATGAGGTTGGCAAGCATGTGGAGAGATCACGCTCTTGCACATTGCTAATGGGAATGTAAAATGGCACAGCCACTTTGGAAAGCAGTGTGAAAGGACCTCAAAAACATAAATAGAACTTTCGCATGATTAGCAGTTCCACTAATATGGGTGCTTAAAACTGGAACAGTCATCTACCAATCTGTAAGTAAACAATGACAAATAAAGTATATTTAGCAATAAAATGAAATCATCAAAAGACTGATGGCAGCAATATGCTAAAGTAATCAAACACAAAACCCTGCATTTTGTATGATTCTATTTATATGAAATCTTAGGAAAGTGAAATTGCAGACATCTATAAATCAGATTTTTGGTTTCCTGGAGTCCGAGCAAGAGGGGACTGACGGTGAAAGTAGACAAAGGAATTTACAGTGGCACAAATGTTCCACACAAGCAGCACTGGCTATTTATGGCAGAAATAAGCAAACTGTATTGAAACTGAATACGTAAAATGAGTACTTTTTTAACCCAGTGTGATGGCTCAGCTGACTAATCCTCCACCTCCAAATGCCAAGATCCTTAATTACTTAGATCCTAAATCTTTAGTTACTGATTAAAAACAAAGGTTTACCCAAAAATACACTCTACAATTTGAAAATAAAATTTTAAATTGAACCTCCCATGTCAGCCCTGGTAGTATGGTAAAATTCCTTCAGCAGACCTTCTGGAAGCTCAAATCCCACAGTACTTGAAGGGTAAGGATCCACTACACTCAGGGAAAGTGGGTTATCACAAGTAAGCTGCAATAGAGGACAAACTAATCTAATTTTCCAGAAAATGGTTCAGGCCACAAAGATTGTACTGAGGCTTCAAAGCATGGAGCCCAACTGTAGAACTGAGAGAACACTGGCTATTAAAAGATGTAAACATTTTGAACTGGGAGGCAGTGAGAGAAGAAATGGCCAAAAACCCCAGTTCTAAGCTTCACCTTTTGTCATATTATGAAATTAATAAAATCCTGAGGTTAAGATTAATAAATTGCTTTATTGATTTTCAACCATAAGTAGTCATAAATTTTTATTTTTTTACATTGTCAGTTTCTTTTTAACTTTTATTTTCTTTCTAATATTGTTTACATAATTGAGAGGGATGCATATCCATATAGGCCACTGATGAGAGTGGGGAGGGTTAGATATGGAGGAAAGTAGGTATGACCAATATTTTGACTTCTTTCCTGTGTTGATAAAGGACATTTTTTCTACACATAGAGTATTTTGCAGGGTACCCAGAAACTCAGTAAGGAAAAATCCCTCTCTTACAAGAACATGACTCAAAATTTTATTTCTTTTAATATAACATTTTTAAATGAGTGTATAGGAAACATGAGTCTTCAATATCTCCATTCACTCCTAAATATCCCCCTTTTTTAAAAGACCAGTTTCCTAAACATGCCTAAGGTTGCAAGCTCATAAATCACTCTGCAATCTGAAGGTTTAGTTTAATGTATGTGTTTGCATAATACACTTTTAGTTGGCATATTATCATAGATAGGTGCCTTGTTATTTTACATATATCTGAAAATACTGTAAGGGTGAATCAGATTCTAGATCATAATTTGCTGTCAACTATCCATATTATAAGAACAAATTCCTGGGGCTGGTGTTATAGCCCAGAAAGAAAAGCCACCACCACAGTGCTGGCATACCACATGGATGCTGATTATCATCCCAGCTACTCCACTTCCCATTCAGGACCCTGCTAATGGCCTGGAAAGATCAGTGCAAGTGCTTCAGCCCCTATTACTCGGACTTGGAATAAGCTCCTGGCTCCCTGCTGGCCAGCTACAGAGTGAACCAGTAGATGGAGATCTGTTTTTCCTTCTCTCTCTGTAACTCTTAACAAATATATAAACAAACAAATCATTAAAATGTAATAATTAGGGGCCACAACTGTGGCACAGCAAGCTAAGCCTCCAACTAGGGCATTGGCATCCCCTATGGGTGCCAGTTCATGTCCTGGCTGCTCCACTTCCTATCCAGCTCCCTCCTAATGATCTGGAAAAGCATAAGAGAATGGCTCAAGTCTTGGGTTCCTGCAACCACAAGGAAGACCCAGACGAAACTCCTGGCTGCTGGCTCCAGACTGGCTCATCTTTGACAACTGCGGTCATTTGGAGGAGTGAACCAGTGAACGGAAGATTCTCTCTCTGTGTTCCTCCTGCTATCTGTAACTCTTTCAAACAAATAAGAATATAAAAAATTTAAAAATAAACATTTTAAAAATTGTTTAAAAACTTTAATAAACATTTAAAAAATTACTTTAATTACCTAATTTCTTAGTGTTCGTATTAGTCTTTCCTCAACTGCTAACCTAGTTCCCAGCTCGCTGCAAGGTGTACATATCAGGATTTCAGTACAAAGACAAACTTTTCTAATGTACATCACTCACACCATTGTACCTTGTATCATCCTCCAGACTTCTCCTATCAGCCATCCCAATCCTGATACTGCTCCCTGATCAAACATCAGACATGAGCAACTCTGCTTAAAGTGGCCAGTCAATATGCTAATTTCCTAAAATGTCCAAAAAGGACAGACAACCAATGACTGTTACAGTTCTATATCAAAATATCATAAAAGTTATTAAATTTGCACCTGCAGTATCAAAAAGTCCAAGAGTATATGGCTCTCCACCAATCATAACTGTGACTGCATAGTTGTCAAAAACCTAAAAACAAAAAAGAAATACAACAGTGTTAGCATACAAGGGGAGGGTCAAAATGGAACAGGATAACTTTTAAGCTAAAAGAAAAGCTTAGCTTCATTTCTGAGATTGAGTCTTCCCTTAGTCCATGTTCCTTGTGTAACTAACCTTGCCAAATAAGCTCTTGCAAGAGCTAAACAGTTTCTAGAACAGTGACAGAGGATGTGTCCTGGGACTCCTGCATTCTTCCAGCAGGAAGGACACAAAGACTGAAAGGTGCCACAGCAACTACATAAAATGATCCTTTCTCAGTTTGAAACTTTGGGGATAGCAGGTCTACTTCAAAGTTCAAGATGATTTCAGCAACTATCTCTGCTTAGGCCATTTAGCTTTAGTCTACAACTAAAATCCCCTAGACATGTGACCACCTCCTCTCCAGATAACAATCTTGCTGCAAACAAGCTCATGTGGGAGAACTCAAAGTTCCCTCAAAATACTCAAGGAAGTGTCCAAGGGGAAGGCTGCTAGATTGTTTGCTGGGGGCTTCACAAATAAAATGCATGCTATTGGACACAAATCACATGACCTAAGCTATCGTTTCTGGTTACATGCTTCATTTGTCCTTTAGAAAGCTCTGCAATACACTAATACTGCACTAAGTTTAAGATAATGAGAGCTGATGGTGCCAATGGGAAAACACCCAACACTAATTTATGGGCTCCTTAAAAATTTTAACTTAAATTGTATTTTCATTTACAAATATAGCTACTTAGAACCAAATTTTTAAATTTCAAATTAAGAGACCGAGATTCCTGCCCAGAGGGCTAAGCCACTGCCTACAACCTTAATATCTCAAATGAGCAACAGTTTAAATCCCAGCTGCCTGACTTGGGATCCAGCTCCATGCTCAGGTGCCTGGGAAAGCAGCGCAAGACGATCCGAGTGTTTGGATCCCTGCACCCACTTGAGAGACCTGAATGAATTTCCAGGCTCAATCCAGCTGTTTACGAAGTAAAGCAGATGAAAGATCTGTCTCTCCCAACCCTCTGCAAACTCAGGCTTTCAAATAAATAAATCATAAAAAAACTTAAAAAGAAAATTTAAGTTAATTAAAAAATTTTAAATGGATGTCATATATTGAGCAAGCCTGCTTAACCTTTTCAACTCTGTACTTTTTCTGGATCTTTTGCTAGTTGTTCAGTAGACTGATTAAAGGTGAAAGAGAACACAAGGACAAGAAGGAGCCGGTAAAGCAGCCAGCTCGAGAGCAGGAAAAAAGAAACAGAAGCTAGAGAGGTTATCTCATTAAGTCACACTTAAGATACACTAATAGCCCTTCTTTAATGGGCTGGACTACGAATCAGAAATGCTAAAGACTCGCTCTCCTCCCTAAACTGGGCTCAGCTTCCTCACCAAGAAGAGATGGGTAAGATGGAATGTACGTAGAATCCCTTCCAACTCTTAATTTGTCTAAAAGTGGCAGATCTCAGTTCAAAGATGGTTACAAACATTTTATACCACATTTTCCTAACAATTTAAACTAATAATGAGGATATTCTTTATGCCTCATGGTCACTGACTTACCTAAACAAGCCCAGTTTAAATTTCATTCCTCTTGTACTCTTCCTCCAACCATACCCTCTTATGGAAATCCACATATAAACACAAATATGAAACAGCACCCACAAATCCATCTTAAATATAGCACCAAATAATCTAAATTATAAAACAGACTGAAAAATATTTACAAGTAAATAACTTTTAACAGAAATGCAAAATCCAGACAGTTGTCCTTATTTGAATGAGATCCATACATTTCTGGAAGTCCCTTTCAATCTCAACATATGACCTTTGAGTCTAAATATACTTTAAAATTCTCTTCCACAAAGAAACGTTGTTTCCTTTGTCCCTATTTCCTTGGCCTAACTCAATTATTGCCTATTCTGGGACATCATAGAGCCTTTCAATGCCAATAAAACACAATGTAAAGGTTTAAGCCTGTAGCCCCCTTCCTAACAAGCATCCTAACCCCAAGTATCCATTTGTTTTGTTTTCACTCTCAAACAACATTAATTTCAAGACATTTAAAATACCTCAACCTGGGCCTGGCGGCGTGGCCTAGCGGCTAAAGTCCTCACCTTGAGCATGCCTGCACCCATATGGGCGCCACTTCTAATCCCAGCAGCTCCACTTCCCATCCAGCTCCTTGCTTCTGGCCTGGAAAAGCAGTCAAGGACGGCCCAAAACCTTGGGACCCTGCACCCATGTGGGAAACCCAGAAGAGGTTCCTGGTTCCCAGCTTCGGATCGGCGCAGCACCGGCCGTTGCGCTCACTTGGTGAAGCATCGGATGGAAGATATTCCACTCTGTCTCTCCTCCTCTCTGTATATCTGACTTTGTCATAAAAATAAATAAATAAAAACCTCAACCTAGCAGATGTGGTTGCTTTGACAGGTCAACCCCACCTGCCCCCCCTCACTCAATTGTCAAGTATGTTTAACATAATTACACCACTGAGTTGGCAAAGCAACTAGGGACAAACATTGGATTCTCAAAGATGCTCATTCACAAATGGGTATTAACTCTAAATAACTCCTTATCACTTCATTTTTTTTCCACTATTTCCACCTTTCCTCTATGCTTTTAAGGAGTTGATAACAAAGCATTTGTTGGAGAAGATCCTAAGTTTTCTGTTGGAGTTCTCACAACAAAGCAAAACTGTCCCTAGAAACCAGCTGAGTGCTCCACTACTACTAAAAGAACAGCTCTACAAAAAAAGAGTCTATTGTGTTTGAGATTGTAAGACCCCAAATAGCAACCCAGGAAACCTTCAAGTGCTGATTTGGCCAAGACATTAAAAAAAAAAAAAGTCACCTTATTCCAAGATATACAACTACAACACAGGTCTCTAAACTGAATCTTTACAATCTTGTTTATGGAATGTGCCTCCAGCACATCCTGCTATTACTCCTTCTGGACTTTCACTGATTTCTTTGAGCTGATTTTACAGTATATGTAATTTACTCATGAGAAATTCTCTAAAGACAGGACAACAGAAAAAACAGGTAGAAAACAGAAAAATTTCAGTACAAAAAGAAAATATTATCAAAAAGTTAACACATCAGAATACATTTCATTAAAAGATGGAAGCCTTTATACTTACAGTCGGTACATATTCTGATGGAAATTTATTTGTTGTGTAGGAAATCAGGAGACATGTTTTACCAACAGCACCATCGCCCACAACAACACACTTAATTGTCTGCATTGCTGAAATAGTTTTGTATCCACTTTAAGTATCTCAAATTTGATGTTGACCTAGAAAAAGATTTAAAATATTTCATTTATTTACACTCATATATTTTTCCCTCAAATGGCAAAAGTTCATTTACACAAGGACAAAAGCATCCGAACTACTTATGACTGCATGACTCTAAAAAGAGAAACCGTGACTTATTCAAAGTCACGGTAACAAGAGTCTACTTCCTAATTTTCTGATCTTGGGTTGTTCATTCTTTTTTTCCAAGAGGCAGAAGACAGTTTCTATCAATCACCAACTCCCTGGATGTATGCAACATCCAGGGCTGCAGCCGGGCCAGTCGAAAGTTGTGAGCCAGGAACCCAAGCACATGAGCCACCACCTGCCCCCTCCCAATATGCACACCAGCCGGAAGCTCAAACAAGGATCAGAGCCAGGGCTCAAAGCAGGCACTCCACCACAGCAATGCTGGCCCAGGGGGTTTCATTACTATTTCAATATCAGGTAGAGTGCAAAGCCTACGTTTGTTTTATTTTTATTTTTCATGGTACAGTTCCTTAAGCACAGGATTTTCCTCCATCCCCAGTTCCCCCCATATTATTACAATTGAATAGTTCTTCACAACAGTTACAAGTCCAACATTGTGTGGTCTAGTGCATCATGGCATTGTAGGTATAGATAATGGTACAAAGTTTAGTGTACGTACTACTGTGGAGGTATGTTTAAGTTTCATTGGGAGTCATCCCTTTATTCAGGAGTATAGACGCAAACTGCAGCCTATCTTTACTTCTCAGCATGCCTGTCTCTACACATGTTTACCTTTGTAGCTATTGATCTTACATTTTACATGGAGATTATATCAGAGAGAACCTGTATTTGTCCTTTTGCAATTGGCTTATTTCACTGAACTTAGTGGTCTCCAGCGTGAACTCTTTTGTTGCAAATGGTAGAATTTTTTAACGGCAAACTAGTATTCCACAGAGCAGATGCACCAGTTTCTTTATCCATTCTTTTGACATGCATCTCAAAGCCTACATCTGTTTAATGATGAAATCAAATTGCTCTAAATCATGTTGGCTTAGTTTTCTTAAGGGTTATTCCTCCTCACCCCACCCCCTTTTCCTTCTCTTTTGTGAAAGGCAGAATGACAGTGGGAGAGACAGACTTCCACCTACTGGTCTGGGATGTGAACTAAACTACTATACAAAGGTCACCTGATGAAGTCAGGAACCAAATTCCATCCCCAGTCTCTATATGGGTGGCAGGGGTACAGGCACTTGGGTCATCTTCTGCTAACTACCCAGGTACATCAGCATTAGAAGATGGACTGGAATCAGAGCAGCCAGCCTGGAAATGCACACTGCAAACACAAGCAGCTTAACCTGCTACACACCCGCCCTTAGCTCATTCACAGACTTCATTACCCTGGCTTCTCTTACTGTGTTCCTCCCTTCTGAGAAGCTAGCACTTACAAACTCATATAAAATACTTTCTTCATTCAAATACTTCAAAATTATTTTGGAATGGGATGCTTATCAAGCTTGATTTATAATTACTATCAGATTTACTTTTCCCCACAGCCCATGTATACCTAGGTTTTAAGGAAAAGCCCTATTTTAATTATCAACTTGAACAGGCTATAATTTCTTTTCAGCTAAGCAGCCACCTGGTAAAAACACGGGACCACCTGGGCCCAGTACAGTAGTCTAGTGGCTAAAATCCCCGCCTTGCATGCCCTGGCCAGGATCCCATATAAGCACTGATTCAAATCCCAGCAGCTACTCCATTTTCCTTACAGCTCCCTATCTGTGGCCAGGAAAAGCAGTCAAGGAAGGCCCAAAGCCTTGGGACCCTGCACCTGCGTGGGAGACCTGAAAGAAGCTCCTGGCTCCTGATCAGCTCAGCTCTGGCCACTGCAGCCACTTGGGGAGTGAACCAACAGATGGAAAACCCTGATCTCTGTCTCTCCCTCTCTCTGTAAATCTGACTTTACAACTAAAAACACAAACAAAATCTTTATAAGCGTATATGTAATACATACGGGACACCTGACTGAGCTGGATGCCATGCCTGTGAATTCCTACAGCACCTCTTACAACATGAGCTATAAATACCCGCTAATATCTCTGTATATAAGCCTCCACCATTTCACACATCATTGTTTCAATACTTCTTAGCACTCAGCTCAGAGACTGAGCTATTGAATGAATGAAAAAAATTTACACATCGAAACATGAAACTACAACAGACATGAGTAATCTATACAAAATATATTCTCCCATTTCTTATCAAAACTGTATTATCTTTATTCAATTTTGTTTCATTCTCCTTCTCTTTTCCTTATTATGCACTAGAGAATTACTTTACTAATACAATATTAGAGGCTAAAGATCCTGATCCCTAAACTGAACTACTGGCTCACTCACCTTTCTCAAATATTCTGGAATAAATGATGCAAATACATTACACGTACTGAAACATTTCATCCTTACAACTACTGAAGGAGATATGTACTGATTATGCCTGGTTTTTTTTTTTTTTGAGTAACAAAGTGAGCCTCACTGATGTCAAGTAACTAGGTCAAGGTTACCCAGCCAGTAAATGATCAAAGTGGAATTTAAATTTAAGTAATCTGATGCTCAAGTTTCTATTGTTTTTTTTTTTAAGAGGCCTTCCCACTTGCTTGGACTGTCATTGGTCTTAAATTTCTATTCTTTTTTAAAAGATTTATTTATTTTTATTACAAAGTCAGCTATACAGAAAGATCTTTCATCTGATGATTCACTCCCCAAGTGATCCCAAAGCCAGTGCTGTGCCGATCCGAAGCCAGGAGCCAGGAGTCTCTTCCTCCAGGTCTCCCATGCGGGTGCAGCGTCCCAAAGCTTTGGGCCATCCTCAAATGATTTCCCAGGCCACAAGCAGGGAGCTGGATGCAAAGCATGACTGTTGGGATTAGAACCAGCACCTATATAGGATCCCAGCTCGTTCAAGGTGAGGATTTTAGCCACGAGGCCACTGTACTCGACCCTCAAGTCTCTATTCTTAAATATTACATTATACATCTTCTCTTGAGCCATGACATTAATAAATACAAACAGTGTAAAAGGAGTAGGACAGCATATATGTATGCAATGAGGAAGGCAAAAATAAAGAGGAAGAAAGAAAGTTCATAGTCACTTCCTATTTGTTCATTCTGCAGACTACCACTAAAGTTCAAGACAGGGAGGCTAGGCAAGACAGCTTCAGTCAACACAGACTTTGCAGTCTTCCTCTTTTTTCTTCTTCTTCTTTTTTTTTTTTTTTGAAAAGATTTACTTAATTTTACTGTAAAGGCAGATTTACAGAGAGAAGGATAGACAAAGATCTTTCATCAGCTATTCACTCCCCTCTCACCACCTGCATCCCAAATTGGGGGAAATCAGGTTTTGAATACCTGCTGTTCTGCTTCCTATCCGGCTTCCTGTAATAATGTTTCTGGCAGACAGAGAAGGGAGAGCCAAGTACCATCCATGTGTCTCAGCCGTCATCATCAAGGCCACGTGGGAAGTAAACTAAAAAGTAGATATAAGATGTTTCTCAACCTCCAGCCCCAAGTCCCTTCCTTCCCTCTCCTCTCCTTCTGTCACTCTTTCAGATAAATAAGCAAATCTTTAAAAATAATAAAATTCAAAGTAGAGGTGAGCATCTGGCTTAGCAGTTAAGTGCCACTTGCCTGGCCTAGAAGCTGACTGGCCAATTAAGACACCTATGCGCCCTTTCTGAGCCCCGAGTTTAGTGCCTGCCTTTAATTCCTGACTACAGCTTCCTGCTGATGCAGGTCTGGAAAGCAGTAGAGATGGCTCAAGTAACTGGGCTCCTGCCACTGAGATGGGAGACAACGGCTGAATTTCTGACTCCCACCTTCCATCTTGGCCCAGCCTCAGGAACCTCAGGCAAATGAGCAGTCAACCACCGAATGTGGGCTCTCTCCCACTTTGCCTCTCTGCCTTTCAAATGTTTTTTCTAAATAAAGTTGAGTTCTGAAAAATAATTCTACTAAACCATAATTATGAAGTAAGATCAGGTTACTTCCACCTTCCTTTCCAGTATCTGTCCCTCTAACCAACAGCAAAATCAATGAGGATCTCCCACATTCTTAACACTCCAGGGGTTCAAGTACTTCAGATAACCTTAAAGCTAGGGCTCCTGAGATTTTGTAGAATTCATGAGCTCTAAAGCCTGTTAATAAAAAGCCTAACCTTTATTATCATTATTACTGGCTGGCTGCCACCCAAACTCATTACAATCTCTAGGAAAAAAATGTGGATGGAGGAAGGCAAGGCAGAGCCACAGATGCCCCACGTTCCCATACCTCATACTGCATTCTAGGTGCAAGAGACCTATAATACAGGGAATAATTTGAAATGAAGTCTTTGCTAATATGTATGCTGTGTCAAATACATTACTTTTCCAATCACATTATTGTGCACTTTATAAAACTACATTAAATATTAAAAGCAGCACAGGAATTGAGGTGCAGTGGGTAAAATTACCATTTGTAATGTTTGCACCTCATTATCACAGAAAGGGTCCAAGCATCAAACTGCTCCACTTTCAATCCAGCTAACATACCAGAGAAGGTAGTAGAAGATGCTTCAAGTACTTGGGCCTAGGCACAAACACATGGAAGGCCCAGGTAGTTTCTGGCCCAGACCCAACTGTTCTCTTGCAGCTATTAGGGAAGTCAATCAGTGAATGGAAGATTTCTCTCTCCAACTCTCTTATCTCCTTCTCTCCCTTTAATGTTCTGCCTTGTAATTTTTTTTTTAAATCATTAGCAATAAACAGTGTGAATCAAGTCAGTTCTTGGTAACCCACTTGGTCTCTATTCCCTGTTCTAACACAGAATTCATCAACATTTTGTGAGTGATAAGTTTTTTTTTTTATTATTATTCACAAAATCACAACTGGATTTATACTAGTAAAACAACTTTGGGAGAGGCCAAGTGATTACATGACTCCCAGCACTCAGGGAAGGAAAACGGGCTAAAGTTTTATATGAATAAGACGATGTGGAGTT